GTATTTAATGTTCGGCTCCGCCCGAACTTAGCCTTTCTTACTTGTTATATATAAGATTAAATAGAAATCAAATAATATTAGTAACTAAAACATATTTTACATATGTATGTGTGATTGTAGTTTATAAAAACAAGTTCATATTTTGGCACAAGTTAACAACTTGAACTACAAATTGCTCGCAAGAAACTAAATTTCCTTGTTTTTAAGCGTCGATTCTGTGTCACACAGGTTCCCCTCTAACGTGGTTCAATGTAAATATGTATATAATTTTTTGTAAATAAATAACGTATGAAAAATTATGTTGATCCATATTTATGATTTTATAAGCTCAGCAAATCATCACTTTTTTAGCCAACTTCAAAAAAATAGGAGATTATCAATTCGTCGAAATATTTTTTAATTTGGTTTAGATCCGACTATTGGATCTTGAAGAAATTAACGGTACTCCTAAATTTGTAGTTGAGAATTGAAGTCGGTTGCGTTTTTTGCTTGGAAATTATATATGTACTTGTTTCAATTTGAAAATGTTTTGAAAATTTCATTGATTCTAAGAGATTTCTATGTGGAGCACCGTTTTTAGTTCAATACTTTTAATATGAGTTAATTAACCAATCATATTTTGTCTTTTCCTGCAGAAATATGCTCTTATAAAATATACAGTGACTCAAACAAATGACTACGTGTTTTTTAAAATATTCGTAATGTCTTCCAGCAAAATTTTTTTTCTATAAAAATACCGTCCAAGCTTTAACCAAACCCATATAAAACACAGTTTCAAATTTTTGTATAAAATGAACAAATTTTCATCAAAATTTAAACCTTTTAATCTGAATCTTTAGAACATTTTTCGGTAGGCAGTTTTACAGTTTTACAATTTTAGTCTGATGAAGTGCAAGTTTCAAACGGTTAAAAATCGCGTTGAATTTGAAAATTTTTTTTGGTGACGGGTTTTTGCAATTTTCTCCATATATGTAAAAATATATATATATATATATAAATTTCTTATGGTATAAAGCGCAGGAGACCCTTATCAAAAAAATTTCGAAAAATCAACGCCAGTTTTTGTAAATTGCACTTGTTATATAAAAAAAAGCCGGGAAAGTAGTCTAAAAAAAAAATCTCAAAAATCAACGGAATTTTTGAGCCGTTTGAAATTTTCACTTCATTGGACTAAAATTGTATGGACTATAAAACTGCATACCCAAAAATATTCTAAAGATTTATATCAAAAAGTTGAAATTTTGACGAAAGTTTGTCAAATTTTCCTCAATTTTGTACAAAGTTTGAAACTGTGATTTATATCGTTTTGGTTAAAGCTTGGACGGTATTTTTATAGAAAAATAACAAAAAAAAAACTTGCTCAGAAAATATTACGAATACTTAAAAAAAAAACCAACAGGTGGTCATTTGTTTGAGTCACTGTATATTCCTTTAAGCCGAAGTCACCATGCACCACTTCAAAACTGCATAATCTCAAATTTGTATGCACTAAAAGCATTCATTTAAATACACATCCACTGGATCGAATAGTTTTTGAAATTCTTAAGATATTCTATATAATTTCTTGACCACAAAACCACACTTCACCTGCACACGCGCTTCACTCAAACTGATCCGCAACGCCACTTCCTCACGTAGGAACACATCCGGATAGTGAGTTTTTTGGAAGAGTGACTCGAGTTCTTGCAACTGCTGCGGCGTAAAAGTTGTACGATTACGACGTTGACGTCGCCGACCGAACATGTATTCGGTTAAAAGATCTCCGGGTAGAGGTGATAAGAATGGACCCGCCATTTTTCCACAAAGTTCAAATTTAATTATCACAAAAAAGCGCGCTACAGTTTTACAGCCTATTAGCGTTAGGCTATACAGAATAAATCCTTTAGCTGCTGCCCGTTAATGTTGCAACTAGGACGTTCGCGAGACGACTGTGCGCATCCTTAGCCATTGTTTGCCTTTTATTATTGCCCCGTTTACCACTGATGTGTCCTTTATGAGCGCTCATTTGCAAGCACAAGACGCATTTACAGTTGTGAGAAGGCAGCAAGGAAGGATTAGTGGCTGCGGGTGGGTGGCAAGCATCTGAGCAATGTTGGTTGGGTGGCAGTGAATGCAATACGCAGAGATAATTAGTTGTGCCAGCTATGGTTTGGCTCATTGCCTATGCTAATGCTGTACTTTTAGCATTTATTTCTAAGCAAATTTTAGCAACAAAGCTTACGCATGTAGTTTATGCTTAGTCGCTTATTCTCTCTCTCTCTCTCTGTCTCGAGTTGTAGGAGCACTAGCATCGCCGCAGCTGTTCGTACAGCGCTCTGAGAGGTTTTTGCATGGTGCTAAAATCGCATTTCCTCCACAAGCATCACTGTATAATGCAATTTGTTTTAAAAATGTTTCCCAAGCGGTGAATTGGGGCAAAGATTTAAAGTGGTGGGGAGCAGCTCTTCTTCTCTACTAAGTACATATGTGAAATTCGATTAGTTGATTATATTTTTGTTTACTAAACAGACTTCGGGACGAAGACACAATCAGGCCGATGCTGAGCAGAAACTCCCTGGGAGTTTTCTCTCTTTGCCCTTTCCTCCTACCATGAATAAAAACTCCCTGAGGATTTTTTATATTAAATGGCGCGTAAAAAGTGTCAAAAGTGTCTACTCCCTGGTAGTTAATTATTGGAGGATTTCTTTCTCGGGAGAAACAAATTCCCGGAGAACAAACTCCCCGTTAGTATTAAAAATTGGGCTGATAGTGTCGAAATACGGCTGGGAATTATATCCGGATTGGTTGAATATCCGGATAATCGATCGTAGATATATTAACCGCATATCCCTATAGAAAAATTAACGGATATCCGGATTTTATCCGTAAACACCAATATCCGAATACATGGATAGTCCTGGCCCTAGTCGAAAAGCGTATGAGTGCGAAGAGAAAATCGAAATCGTTTACTTTTGATTCAATAGCCGAAACGCTCCTCAGATAACGCAGAAGACATATTTATTAGTTTTGGCCCAGGAGCATGGATTCGATTTCTTGTGAGGGCCTATGTCAATCAGTAGCAAAGTATGGTGAAACAACTTTTACTATGCCTTACTTACTTGCCTTTCGAAAATTTTTACTGCTTGAAATACTCTTCTAGGTTTCAAAGTTATGCATTTATTAGACGTCTGAGCAATAATATTAGAACCAAAACACGTGTAATCCGTCAAGTAAGTTTTATGCTTGCTGCAAGCATTTCGATTAACTGCCATATTTCAAGAGCTTTTTAATGTTATGCAAATCAGCAAAAACCTTATTAGACATTGCTATATTTAAGACAACTGGTTTGGACTCACAGGTCCACGCTGACCGATGCAACGTGAGCTATTTGGGATCGATATGGGGAGTTGAAGAGGGTATTTTCCGTTACAAAAGGAGATGTCTGAATGCGGGAGTGCGAAGAGCTTGAAAAGATGGCTGACAAGAAAAATGCCCGAACATTTTACCAGAGAATTAGGCGACTTACGGAATGTTTCAAGACTAGGGCGAACTTCTGTAAGAACAACCATCGAGACTTAGTGACTGCTGTTCAGAACGTATTTAAATTATAAAGGGAACACTTTTACATCCTATTGAATGGTAATATAACTGAAAGTAGAGGAGAAGACGAACCCGAGAATCAGTCGATGATGACGGAGTCCATGTCCCACTGTCTGAATATGACGAAGTACGAATAGCAATTACGCGGCTGAAAAGCAACAAAGCTGATGGAGCAGACAGCCTGCCAGCTGAGCTATTTAAGTACGACTGGAAAGAGTTGATAAGTAGCATGCATAAACTCTTATGCAGAATATGAATAGATGAACGCATGGCCACGACAGCAATTTGAGTGTGCTCTGCCCAATCTACAAGAATGGCGACCCACCATACGCGCCAAACGCCTGCGGGGGCAGCCTTCTAAGCATAGGTTGCAAGCTCTTATCGAGCGTATTGCGTGAAAGGCTGAAGACCACCGTCAACGAACCGATTCGGCCTTATCAGTATGGCTTTACTCCTGGCAAAACCAGCGTCGACAAAGTCTTCAAAATATTGCCGCTTCAGATAGGACGAATGGAAGTTGTCTCTATGCCAAGACGCTTGAATTTTGTATCTCCGAGAAACTAATACGGCTGTTTAAAATGACGAGGAGGAGGAGCATTGGGAAGCACCTTTCCGAGCTGTTTGACAGGGTGAGCCCCTTTTCAGGGCTGCCAACTATCCTTAGCCATGAGGTGCCAAATTGAGGATAAAAAAGTGCCAAAATGTGCGAAATAGAAAAATAAAAGTGCCAAGGTGTCATTCTTTTTAATCCTTTCCTTTTACAATAAAATGAGAACCACATTTCTAAAATAAAAGTGCAATGCCAAAATAGGATAAACCAGCTGAATAATCGCTTAGGCTTTTATTGTGCCAATCAACAAGAAGAATAATGTCTTGAAAAGCTTGAACAAGACTAGAACATAATCTGCCTTATCCTCAGTTTCGCCCGAAAAAAAATTCACCCGAAAATTTTTTATCCGCCTATAGTATTTACATGGAAACGAAAAGTATAAAGTGAACCGGTTCGGGGAAAATGAAACCCATGATAAGGCTGTATATGTATTTATACTATAGGCCGATGAAAAATTTTCGGGTGAATTTTTGTTTTGGGCGAATTTCAGGATAAGACAGAATATGAATAACTTTGATGGCTTATTCTAACAGAAAACTAACTACATCAAGTATTTCAAATGCCTGGAAGTGTTTCGAATGATTCAATAGTCCTTTATCGCAATCCACAGCTCACATTACATTGCTTTTGTACTCGCTCTTCCACTCTCATAGGAGGATAGAATGAAAGTAATTGATGCGATACGAAGAAGAAATGATGAAATTAAATCAGAGAGTGAAGGTAAACAGAAAATCTGATGTTTATGTTGTGATTTGTTTAAGAGGCTACTGAGCAGTATTTTGCATCGCTTTCTGCCGGAGAGCAAGTGTTCAGCTCGGCTGGGGTGGCTGTGAGTTCGTCAAATTATTTTACTTCTGCATTTTTTTTTTCTAATATTTACTTACTTGTTTGTATTTATACACACTCTCACATTGATAAATAGGCGTTTAAATTTTATTGGTAAACACGAGTAATAAATAAATATAATTTAACAACAATAACAAATAGGAAAATACCGGACAAAATAGCGAAGTTGGTGAAGATCCTTGTGTGGGTAATGAAATTCAGAAGCATATAAAATTGAAACAACCAATGAAATACACGCGCCGCTAAAGCACAATACAACAACACAACAACAGCATTAATAGCATAACAATAAAAGCAACAAACAACAAAAACAACAAGCAGAAATTGAAACTGTGGTGCGGGTGTAGTTTACAGGTTTAAGCAATTACAATGAGCGCAATGAGATAAACAACATTGTGGTGCAGCAGATGCAGTGAAAGCGGCCGGTGGATGGGGGGTGGCTTGGTGGGCTTGGTGGGCTGGCGGTTGCACCCTCAGGACAGCATTGAGAATGTATTGTTATTATTGCTATTGTGTTTTACTCCAAGAACTGTATTGTTGTGCGAGCATCCTGCCGCACATACTTGCTGTGCACATGTATGAATATGTGTGTTTGTGTGTGTCATGTGAGTGTAAAAGCGTGCTCAACTGTGCCGTTTTATAGGTGTAAATGTATTTGCGACTGTAAGTTAAACAAATGAAGGGATGTAATTTTCTCATTTGCACGTTTTGTTTCGTTGTTGTTGCTGCTGGTTGTTTTGCATTTATGTAGGTATGTGTGTAGTAGCAGTATGTAGGTATTTGCCTGTGTTGGTCTTTGCTAAAGCATATTGTATTGTTGTTTCATACCTTGCTGTAGCCTCCCCTACTGCCGCTACGTTTCCTCTTTGCCTGTTGGGTGGGACGATTGTATGATTGTATGTCTAATGGCTGGATGGCGGGGGTCACCGAGGAGTAAGGGGACATAGCGCTTGCGCTAAAATTATATTTATTTATTATTTCAACAACTGCAACGGTGGCGGCTGACTGCAGCTTGGTGCTTTGTGTTTGTGTATTGTTGCTGTTGCTGTTGTTGTTGTTGCTGTTGTCGTTGTTTTGCGCGCCGCAATAGGCGGAGCGGCAGTGGTGGATTCAACAACATTTCACAATTGAAGCCAATCATAAACGAGCAACGTGTTGTCCACACGCGCGCCGCCTCAGGGGGAGTGATGGGGGGGATATGCTGTTGTACCGTAGAAAGATCCATGAGAAGTGTTTTCTTTTTTGGGAAGCGTAGAGGCGCGCGCGCTTTTCATTAAAATTATGAATATTGTTTCGCTGCTTCCCTTTTACTATGTACGGTTGCTACTGGTTTTTGGTTGGAGCTTCTGCTGTTCTCCATTTTTAATTTTGTAATTTGATGTGCAGCAACAACAACAACGACTAAAACTGTATTTTGCAAAACAATGCAGCCAGAAACTCATTAGTCGACTAACGGGTGACGGCCACAGTTGCACGATGTTGTGGATGGATGGTGTTGGTGGTGATAGTATTCAGGTGGGCGGCGGTGGTTGGTCGTGTGGCTGGTTGGTATGCCATTTGACTGGCAGCTGATGCCTCCTCGATGATGGTTCATTAAGCGGAAGGGCTGTGAGAGAGCGGTATGATTACGTCAAGGATACAACTTAGGTGTTACAATAATTTCCTGCTTAGTGCCGTTATTGTTTTAGTGCAACGAAAAAATTATTACAGTTACGTCTATTATTGTAGTTTAATGGATATGGATTTGCCGGATTACATTATACATTTCGTTTTGCGCGAATGGGATTATAATTCATTCAAAATATGTATTTTATAGTATTTAA